AGAGTGGAGAAAACAGAGGAGAGATTGCCTAATACTGTAACGGAGTTAGATTTGAGATATCTTGTGCAATTGGTTGAGAGGAAAGATGGTGGTAATGCTTGGATTCAGATTATGGATCGTTTTACTTCTGGTATGAGATATCAAGCTTGGTTAAGAGAACCAAAGGTAAACATTTTGTTTCTTGGTTTTGAATTTTTGAGGAATTGGATTTGGATTTCTCATTCTTTTGTGTGTTTTGTTGTTTAGAATGGTCCTACTGAGTATAGAAGCAGAACTGTGTTCGAAGATGCAACTCCTGAGATTTTAAGAGATTTTTTCTGGGATGATGAGTTTAGACCATCTTGGGATACAATGCTTTCTAATTCCACTACTGTTGAAGAGTGTCCTAGTACTGGAACCATGATTGTTAAATGGATACGCAAGGTTAGTCTCTGGTTACTATTTTTCTCTGTGATGATTGATTGTGAGTTTTGGTTGTTTGATCATTCCTTTAATGGTTGTTCTCTGTGTCACAGTTCCCTTTCTTCTGCAGTGATAGAGAGTACGTGATCGGTCGCAGGATATGGAACTGTGGAAACTCTTATTACTGTGTTACAAAGGTATGTATGTAGTAACAGAAATGGAATCTCTTACATTGATGTGAATAAAGAGTAGAATTGAAAAAAGGAAGAAACTTGAGTTAGCATCTATGTCGGTGTTCTGCCTGCATTGGATTGCAACTGAATTGCCAGCTTAGAAGAACAAACCTTTAAATCGGTTAGATAGAGAACAAGCAGAATGTGATAAGGATTGTGAACAAGCAGTGTGGTTTTGGTGTTAGATGTAGTAAAAATCAAAATCAAGTCTCTAGAAGAGGAAAAGATTCAGTTTTTGTGCTACTCTAAGATTGTCTCTCGTTCTTGCTTTAGGGAGTATCAGTTCCTTCTATACCGCGTAACAACAAACTAAGGCGCGTGGATTTGTTCTACTCGAGCTGGTGCATTCGACCAGGTAAAAATCCACATCCACGACTTTGCTATCTTCCTAAAACCGAATTAGCTTCAAAACAAAGTGTAACATTTTCCCAAATTTGGTTATCCAGTGGAATCAAGAAGAGACGATGGAGTAACAAGTGCCTGCGAGGTGCTTTTGTTTCACCACGAAGACATGGGGATACCAAGAGAAATCGCAAAGCTCGGAGTGAAACGAGGAATGTGGGGAGCAGTAAAGAAGATGGAACCCGGTTTACGCGCTTACCAAAACCAAAGACTCTCAGCAGGAGGAGAAACCAAACTTTCTCGGTCCGCAATCATGGCTCAAATCAACACCAAAATCACATCAGACCATCTCATTTCACTCAGCAACGGCGCATCGCCAGTCACCGAAACTCCCGTTACATCAAACCAAGGAAATCACGCTTCGAATCTAAAGAAACTGTTGATTATCGGCGGAACTGTTGCGGTTGTTTGCAGTTTGAGCACAGGGGTTCTTGTTCCTCCTGCGTTTCTTTTAGGGCTAGGTCAAAGGTTTGCTAATGGAGGAA